GTAGAAAGTAGTTTTTCTCTCTTAGAAATCTCACAAAAGCTTAACCTAGCTCTGGGAAAGGCTCTCTCTATTTATAAGTCCGGAATAAGGATAATCTTAGTCAATAAAAAAAATTCAAATTCACGAACTACAGCTCAATCAGTGGGAGGGAGGTCATAAGGTAGTTGTCACTAAAATGAAAACGAGGTTCCAATCATGATTGGAAGAGTAGACCACTGAGCGACTATGAGACCACTCGAGCGAGGTTAAGTGACTGCTCGAGCGAGCTCATAGAACGAGCCTTATTCTCCCTCCATAGACTTTTTTTATTTTCTTTCCTAAGTCATAAAGAGACCGTTCTAACGAAAACTAACAAATACAGGGCGGTCCCTACTAGATTTTTAAGCCTAAAACCAAGCAAATAATTTGTCTTCTTGAGCACTAAAAGGTGTTACTCAAGAGATGTCCGCTAATAACTCAATCTATATTTTCAAAATACCAAATGGTTTGAAAAATCTTTTTTTAAAAAAATCACCTAGAAACCATATATGGATTAATCTCTAATTTTATTTTAACTTTAATCCTCCTAAAGTAAATAAACTAAGGGATCATCTTAGATATATAGGTCATTACTTTTGTCCTAAACTTGAATGTGCAACCGGAGTGTGAATAATATAACTTTGAAGCTTGATCTCCTCCATTTAATGACGTTTTCATATCTTCAATCTTGGTAGCATCATGACCATGAAATTGGTTGATTTTTACAATATACTCCACAAAATTAGCCAATTACAAATATATATCTAACAATCTCCCCATATCTTTAATAATACTCTACACTCCTCTTAAGTTTTCAAAAATCTTATGTGTTTCTTTAAGTTTTTAAAAATATATTCAAAAACCTTAGGTGGTGTTTGGTAACAGCCAATTTTTGTTTTTTTTCATTTTTGTTTTCATTTTATGGCTAAAAAAAAAAACAAAATTTTGTTTGGTGAATTTTTTTGTGTTTTTTTTTAACATCTCCGTTTTAAAAACAAGGCTAAAATATGAAAACATTCAAAAAGATGTTTTTGAAAACATCCAAAAAAAAAACACGCACAAAGAATTAATGAGGTCTTGACTTCAATCCTCCATAGCAACAAAAATCATACCTTTTTTTGCTTGGGTATAAAAGGCCCATCTCCCCTTTTTGCCCCCCTCTCTCTCTATTTCTCTGTCGATGCCATCGCCAATCGCCGAAGCCAATGGTGGGGTTTTGATGGTGGTTTTGTGTGGGTTTCGTTGGTGGTGGTTTTGGGGGTGGATTTTTAGTGGTGGGTTTCGTCGGTGGTGGTTTGGGGTGGGTTTCGTTGGTGGTGGGGGTGGATTTCGATGGTTGTGGTGACTCTGCTGGGGATGGGTGGAGTTGGGTTGGTTTTGGGTGGTCACTGGGTTTTGGGGGTGGGTTTCGGTGGGTGGGGTTGGGTGGTGGGTTTGGGTGGTAAATTTTTGGTATAATACCAAATAAGTTTTTAATTTTTGTTTTCACAATTTTTTAAATATAAATGACTATCAAACATGTTTTATATTTAAAAACGAAAACGTTACCAAACGCACCCTTAATAATTTGGCATTTAATCACCCGATGGAAATATTAATCACATGGATGAGTATTACTCTTATAGACGAAAAAACTTGTTTGGATGAGTTTGATAATTAAAAGAACAAAGAAGACGAAGAATAGTTAACACGAAATCGAATTATAAACGTGACTTATATGACCACAAATGTACTGAATCAACAAATTGATAGTATTATGTAAAATTAATATTTGCGATGATAATTTATTAGTAGATGTTATATCATGTTGTAGAATAAATAAATAAGTGGGCCATGATCTTATCATCAATTAACTTTTATGGCTGCGAGGAAGGATCACATATTTATTTGAAGACGGGAATTGTTTGTAGTGGAGGTAACCCAAAACTTATTATTAATAATAAAAAAAAAAAAAAATCACAACGCCAGTATTATTATTACCAAAAATATTATTCTTTAATACTATTTTTGTAAACACAATTTATTAGAAAAACATCAACAATTCATAACCCACATACATTAGCAATGCATACAAAGGTGCTTTAAAAAAATTCACTTAAAAAATCTTCAATAATCCAGGTATGCACAAGACCCTAATATAAAACTTTTAAAAATTAAAAATAGTGCCCAATGAATAAATCTAAGCGCATTTTACACACTCCAGCTTAAGCGTATCTCTCTTTTACTACTTTGTACTTTCTTATTAATTGAGTTTTCTAACCACTGTTGCCGCCTTCAGTGGTTAGGTCACCCAAATCTAACCAAACAAATTTTGTCTCTTATTATTAATTGTTTCAGTAATTGTTTTACACCACACATTCAACTGATTTGATCATACATAGTTAACTTTGTGCATTATCAAAGTATGTAAGTCCCAAATTAATCGTTAAATCCAACGAGGAAAAGAAACAAAAAGAAAGAAGATTGAAGAGACAGAACGAAGAAAGGCTAAAGGCTGAAGGATCTGGAACTAAATGCCTAATTCTCTTAACTAAAATTTTGTAATTTATAAAGAGTTCCACTTAGTCCTTCGAATACAAAGTTTTTTTTTCTGGAAGGTATTCGAATACAAATTTATCCCCAAAGTTTTTACCAAATTTTCACCGGAGGTGTAGGGGGTAAAATGCTCCCTACTGCTTGAGTGATACAGTTTGGAACAGAAGAACAAGAAGCACTGCACCCAGGGGCGGAGCCAGGATTCTATTTTAGTGGGCGCAAAAAACATAAATGAATAATATAACCGATTCGTATTAAAACCAATTTCCCACACCTCCATTAATAAGGAATAAATTTTATCATTCGTAATATTTGTTCATGTATTACTGGGTTTTGAGCCACTAATTAGCGAAAAATGAATTAGGAACAACAATACAATTAGTTTTTAAAAAATATGAAGAAGTGTAGTAAATAACAGATGTATTGACTTTGATTGATATATATGAATTGATGAATTTCACATATGTTTTACTCAATCTAATAATAAAATATATTTTTTTCTAGATTATGTGACTACTAATTTATCGAGGATAAAAAGATTAGAGGCACTATAAAAATTTTCCAAACAATTCGGGGAGACAATAAGATAAATTGCACATAATTTTTTTAACATAACTGTGTATATGTGGAAATCGCACAAAAGTCATTGGGGGCAACTGCCCATATCCACGCACATAGCTTCGACTGCACCGGTTCCTGCAAAAGTGAACAAGCTACGAGAGACCAGGGTGGGCTTTTCAGAGGCACTCTACTACTTAAGATGGTAAAAATTTTGAGACGTTAATCAGAGCTTATTTGCATAAAAAGGTTTAGTGCGTACCTTTGATTTTAGCTTACTCGGCGCATATAGTCTTTTGGAATCTCCTTTCGGGTTTCACTTTTAGTAATGTTAGGTGGCATACCTTGCGTTTTGTCGGAGTATTTGTAAAGGGTGCTAGAATCCCTTCAATCATCCCTTATTGATCTTCTCATTTGAGCACATTAACATTATTTATGCATGATTCGTTGTTATTAACACCTCTAGAGTGGGGTAACCCCCATGACTTTGGGTGTCTTAAGCTGGCTTACGTTGGCTGACCCGATATTTATCTCGGTACTAGCAATAGTTTAGACCCTTACTGTCAATACCCGTTAGTAAATTACATCTAGACCTCTTGAAATTTGTATGCATATAATACATAAATTTCTCAAGTTTAAAATGTTATATTAAGACTAAAATACTTCAATCAAAGATAGAATATCAAATATTTTAAATTTTACAACCAAATATTATGACATTTATTGAAATAAAATCAAAATTAAAAATCTAATTTTTTAAGATTAGTATACAATTATACTATCTATTAAAACTTAGTTTGGTCGTCTAAACTATCAAATTAAACTACCAAATTATTCCAATTAAAATTAGAAGATATTGTGTCCATTACAGTTTGACCTCTTGTTTAATTTTTTAGTTTTATTTCAATAGATAATATAATTATATACTAATTATATTTTTTAAGAAAAAATAGATTTTTATTTCAGTAAATGACATAATAAAATATGAAATTTGGTTGTAAAATTTATGATCTATTATGAATGACTTAGGCCATTTGTTTGATTTTTTTTTATTCCAATAGATAGTATAATTGTATATTAAATCACAATTTTTTAAGAAAAAATTAGATTTTTAATTTTAATTTTATTTTAATAAATGATACAATGGAATATAAAATTTGGTTATAAAATTTTAAATATTTGACATTTTATCTTTAATTAGAATATTTTTTGTCTAACAGTTTAAATTTGAGGGATATAAATATTATTTATTTATAAACTTTGAGGGATTTGAGTGTAATTTATTAAAGAATATATTCATTGATATTGATAACAGAGGTTTAAGTATTATATGTATATAAATTTTAGAGGTCTATATATAAAATTTTAAATGTCAAGGTATGAATAATTAAGTGATAAATATCGTAGGATTTGCATGTAATTCTTCCCAAAAAATAATGTGCGGTGCCATGTGGCAAACTAGCATTTGTAGAAGCACAACAGTTGTTGCCCAAACAAAATTCTAAGCTGCAGACAATAAAATCCGTGAGATATTTTCATACAGAAACCAAATACGATTCGAGGTGATCGATGTTAAATAAATTTAAAAATTAAATTTGATAATCACATTCATCGAATAAATAATTAAATTTATCAAATCTATTTTTCTAAGTCATACTTTTTAAGTCGGCGCTCCGGTTCAAAACGAGACTTCCATGTCTTTTCTCTCCTCAACCCCACCCCCCAAGTCTGGTCTCATCACTTTCTTTTATTCCCGATCCTGGTTACTTTTACTCCATTCATATTTTCTTTCTCATCCAAGCACGTAGAAATTCATTAAGTCTTCGAACATATTGCGCTTTTCTGTGCTGAATTTGGTATTTTCTTGGGTTTCTATCAATCGGTTTGTAATGGTGAAATCGAGTGAAAATGGGGTTTCTATACCGCCTTTTCTGTTGAAGTGTTATGAGATGGTGGATGATCAGTCAACGGACGCTTTGATTTCTTGGAGTAATACTAATGACAGCTTTATCATTTGGGATGATACTGGGTTTTCGACCGAATTGCTTCCCAAGTACTTCAAGCACAACAACTTTTCCAGCTTCATTAGGCAACTCAATATCTATGTGAGCTTCTTTACCTTTATTGCAATCTTTTATCTGGGAAGTCTTTTATATATAATTAGTGCATTGTATTGTGTTGGGATTGATGTAGTTCTTGGTTATGCAATTTGGTATTGATAGAAAGTTTTATTCTGTGATTGGAAATTGATCGAGAATTCTGTGATTGAAAATTGATCGAGAATCTTTAAGCTTCATTACCAAGTTTGTGGTATTACTTATCCAAATTGATTCTCTTTGTATTGGAATCCATAACCAGAATGCTGTTGCTCAGACATTTATAATACTACACCCGGTGATGGCTCCATTAGTAGAGTTTTTTTATGGTAATTTGGTTGTATAGTGTTTTTGTGCTATGACTTGTATTGGGTCTTGGCCAACTCTTCGTTGTTTTTATTGTGTTTTCTTTCTTATTCATCTGAACAGTAGTGCATTTGGAGTTGAGGGTTCTATTTGCTTTAAAACTGGGAGTTTGAAATTCTGGGATTTTATTTTGAGAAGAGATTTGAGTCAATGGCCATGTTTGTTGTTATTCTGATTGCATAGGATGAGCATCACTGACGATACATGGAGTTTGAGCTACGTCTCTTTAGGTTTTCAACTTGTTTCTCTGTTTTTCATGTGTTCTCATTGGTTATGTCAAAACTGTTTGTTGGAATGTTGTCATTGCTATTATGGTATTTCAGACTATCACTATCCTCCACCAAGCCTGCTTGCTCTACCTTCAATGTCATGTTTCCAATAGCTGTGCTGCTATAGTGGAAAGCAGGGCAAAATTGCTTCTATTTATGTTCTTCAGCTCAGTACCCGCCAATAACAAACTGCTTCGTACATGCAATATTAATGCCAAACAAATAATACCCATCCCTAGGGCTTCCCAACTGATTTTGAAATTGGTTTGTGCTTAAATGTGAGGAATGCATATTGCTAAGTCACCGGGCATAACTTCAGAGAAAGAATTTATAGTAACTTTTCTGTCAAGGGACTAATAAAGTGGAAGTCTGTAATGTCTATGATAGCTTTTTTTAATCTTTTTCCCCCATTGTAACAGAGTGATAAATTTCACTAGAGTCTTGTACTTTTTTTAATAAACTCATCCATGGCTGCCCTGAAATCCCCTTGGATTGCATTTTAAAACGTCTATCATTAGTATTGGGGATATTGATAATCATTGTAGCAGTGGTCTTTTGATTCTTTACTTTATTTCCCATCCTCTCTTTGCTTTATTTTCTATTCTCCTTTTTTTTTTGGATTTTTGTTCAACCTGAAAAAATGAGTGACTGATTTTTAGGCTTTTACAGATGTGGATTTTTGTTCTTTGTCTTAGATTTTGAGGATTTTTCACTTGCTTTTTCATCTCAGAACGATTCCGGTAGGAATCATCCGAGTTAAACCGAGTTCCTCTGATTTTGGCCGATACTAATGAGTTGAACCGAGATATCGACGATATCTGCTTAATGCGTCATTTCCCGTACTGCGTAGTCGTATCGGACTCGGCCGATTCCTTGAACCATGATTTGACTGTTGTAGACTGCACTATTATCCTGGCTTTGATGACAAAAGGTTGAATCTTTTCTTCTTGTTAAAATGTGTTGACTAATAGTATTCATTATTTCCTCTTGTTGATGATGACCCAATGTTATATGGATCAAGGATCGCTTTGGTACGTGATATAGGTACGGGCATAGTTATTAAATTGTGTATCGGAAGCCGTATTATTTTTTAAAAATAGTGTATCGTAAGATACAGTGGAATTTTAAATAAATAATAACAAAATATATATACCTTAAAAAAAAAATCATATACTCATAAAAATATAGCATTTCATTAATACTCCACCACCTATTCAAGTCATCAACATAGTTCACTAATATTATAATGCAAAGTTTAAAACCATAGTTCATTAATTCAAATTTCAAACACTAAAAAGACTTTTAATCGAAATTTATAACATCCATTTTGAACTCAATCCATAAAATCAATCAAGATTCATAAATTTTTATACAAAAAAAAAAAAAAATTAGTGTCTTATTTAGACAAAACGACGTCGTTTCAAGAAAAAAAAACAGATTTTGTGCGTATCGGTTGTATCGTGTATCAGACGATACGACGCAAAAACGATACATAATTTCGATCCGTATCGTTTTACCTCTGTATCATAACGTATCGTACGATACGTATCGTGTTTCGTACGATACTAACAACTATGGGTACGGTTATACAGTATGACACTTTTTTAGGTATATAGTACGATGGAGGTAAGCTTAGTTGGTACAATATTTTGGGTCGTAATTAGTTTGGGAGCTCTTATCTAGATCGTTATCACTATTGTACAATATTATATATATTATAGAACATTCATAAATACTAAGTCAGTTATTATTTATTTTACATTTGTACTCAATTTTTATTACCTAAAATAATATATAATTATAAATTTATATACATGTAATTAATTAATATGTATTTTATATTTGTGTTATGTGTATAATTTGGGATCGTATATTTTTGTGATCTAGATCACAAACCCATCCCATTTAGGATCGATGTACCTAGATTGTAGGCCGTTAGGGGTTTAGTGAATTCTGATAACTCTGTGATGATCTCCTTTAGCCCATGGAGGGCGGTAAAAATCAAACTCTTGCATTAAAACTTTTTATCTCTTAAGCAATAAATGTATGAAAGACAGTTTTGTTGCTTGAGTAATTTCTTATGTTCCCTTGATTCTCCCCTATATCTCATCAGGCAATCCTCTTTACAGTTATAATAATTAGCTGATAGAAAATGGGTTCAAATATGAGCACACAATCAATGGGTCTTTGGTCTAATGGTACTTCTTGTCTTGTAAAGGTTTTGCCTTGTTAAGGTCAAGGGTTCAAATCTCCCTCCCCCAAAAAAAAGAAAAAAAAACAAATGAGCACACTGAAAAGCATTACTAATATTCACCAACTGCTTTTATTATGACTGGAAATTCATGATGCATAAGGAATGCGATTAATTTGGTTATTCAACCAGTTGAGCTCGTTGCCATCAAAGGAAGAATAAGACAAGTGTTGTCTAGGCTCAAACTATAAAATTTTAATAATTTTCAGGGTTTTGTTTTTCTTTCCCAGAATGCTTACAAATAGTAACACCATGTGATGTAAAACTCCGAATCTTTATTCACTTCATCATGCTATGCACTCGTTGGTACTTGAAGGATTTAATCAATCACTTGTGCTCAGTTTTAGATGCAGACACTTGTTTGCTTTGTTTTTTCCCTATTGTTTTCCTTTTTGGTTGTGGTCTATTATCATATTTTGTGATTGTACACCCACTGCTCAAGTTGGTTACTTTCTAAACAGCTGCTTATTGTGAGGTGCCAGAAGTTGCATCCATTATTTCTAAAAGCAGTAGTGTTTTGCTTTGCCTTGGTAGCCTCATTGCACGGATAGCTTTTCTCATCCATTAGGCTTACTGCATATATGACGCGCTCAATTTACCCAAAAATGTATGACCTGCTCGCAGTCTTCCTATGATATTTGAGAACCAGTCTGTGGCTCTCACTATATATAATTTTGCCAGCATTTTTGAAGATCCATAACAGAATTTTTAAGTTCTGTAACGACTCTCTCATGGTCAGCAGTTGCATTTAATAAAGCAATATATTTCTGGGTTTATTAGTTTAGTGTCATGATCAAAGCAGCAATGTCTTGCTGCTTTTTTGTTTTGTGTTCTTTGCTTTTTTTTTTTTTTTGTTGTCAATTTGTCAACACTTCAAAGTCAATCTGTGTTGCTTCGGTATATGCATACGCATCGAATATGTTGGTGGAAGCATTTGTTTATATGTAAAACTGGATTTCCCGGTTGTTGGTCTTACATTTCTCTGTTTCCTGGCAATAATAGGTTCGTCATGTAGGTATTTGAATGTGATTTGATCCAATGAATTGGATTGAGTAGGATCCCAGTTTCTATTACACTAGTGTAAAAGTTATTTTTAGAGTTATTTGAGGATACTTTACTGGCTCAACTTCCCTTTGTTCCTTTGCCTGGGTCCATCAGTTTGTATGAAGAGGTCCATGTCTGCAGCTCAGGCTCTTTTACTTCTATCTAAGATCGAACTTACTTTAGCCCAAAGTGATTATGTAGACTTTAATACATACCAAAGCATTCCAAATATAATTAGAAACAACATTTGAGTCATTTGCAATGGTGATCTTAAAATAAAATTTTCCAAAATTTTCAACAGCTGCAATAATTGCTTTATGACCCGGAGCTTATCGCCAGGTCAATTCATCCTTTGGGGCCTTTTATCAAACAACTGGTAGTGACAAATGTGGTCCTCTTTGTTGTGATGGATTTGCTGCAGCGATTTTTCCTTTGCTTCCTCATGCATGTGAGATTCTTTGACAAGTGTAGACCTACTTCAACATTTATGAAAACATCGATGAACATATTTGTGTCAAAAATTTTATATATCTTGGCCTTCAAAATCATGTTTTCTCAAGTAACAAGGAAAAATAGAAATGTAGCAGCAGTAATTTAATGAAGTAGATTGGGCCAAAGGTTAAGGGTTTCCAGTAATTTTGCGGAAGTGCCTTTGAACTAAGCCGGCTGAGAATGATTTTTTGACTTAACTTGGATAAGATGAGAAAAAGCTAGACAGTATAGAATAGATAAACAGACTTGGAACAAATGCTATATTGCTTTTCCTGATGTTCTAATTATCATCTTGAAAATATCTTAAAATATGGAACTATATGATCCCGTATATTTGTCATCTAAAAGTCTACATCGTATCAGGGTTTCAAAAAAATTGATACAGATCGCTGGGAATTTTCAAATGATGGATTTATCAAGGGCCAGAAGCAATTGTTGAAGAATATCAGCAGAAGAAAACAGTCTCAGGGCATGGTTCAGCGAAATTCTTCCCAGCAAAAAGACAAAGATGTTGGAACAAGTGAAGAAAATAAAACTGTTGGACTGTGGAAGGAAGTTGAAAGTCTTAAGACTGATAGGAACGCGCTCACGCAGGAGCTAGTTAAACTGAGGCAGCATCAGCAGACCTCACGGAGTAAGTTATTGCTCCTGAGAGAGCAACTGCAAGGTATGGAGAAAAATCAGCAGCAGATGCTCTCATTCATAGTGATGGCCATGCAAAGCCCTGGGTTTTTTGTTAAGTTGTTGCAGCCAAAAGAAAATAACTGGTGTATGCCTGAACCTGGTAAGAATGTACTGAAGCAAGTTGCAGATCATCATGAACCACTACATTCTGAGGGGATGATCGTAAGGTATCAACCGATGGACGAATCTTCCGAGCCTCTACCCACACCGACTGCAAATCCTGAAGAATCTCTGGTGTTGAATCTTTCTTCTGATGAAGTGAAAGATCTCTTTATGAACATTGATTTCATGTCAGAGCCTTTGGGTGAAAAAAAAATTTCTTCGGAAAATCATGGCCCACTCATTCTTCCGGATCTACCTGATGACTATAGTATGTTGGAACAGCTGCTTCTATCTAGTCCATCTTCAGAGCATGATGAAGATGCTGAGCTTGATCCTGAGGACCACGCCTACTCTGGAATGGATCTGGAGTCAACATGGTGTGGAACCCAGCTGGAGAATTCTAATACGCAAAAAATTATGAAGGAAGGATTGGAGAAATCTCAGAGTATGAAGATGGATACAATAGCGCTTGAAGGCCGGCCTGATTGCCCTCAAAATGTGGAAATTTTAACTGAACAAATGGGGCTTTTAGCTTCTGAAAGAGGCCACAAGCATTAAAATGTCTATCGTATCGCTGCAGATGTGGCTACTAGTAAATCTCCTGAAGCTCTAGTACTTTAAAGCATAACTTATTCTGGATGCACCTTGTTCACTCCATCTATTCGTTTTTCATCCACACATGTAAGTGGGTTCAATTTTCTCCATTCCAAAATGCATGCAAACTATTCTGCAAGTTACAAAAAAGGATGGTTGGTGTCTGCGTCACTTGCAGATATTGGCAAGATGGCATCATCTTTTCACTACAACTTGTAGGAGGATTGGGTAGTGGTTTTGTTATACAACCCTCTCAAGATAAAAGGAATGACATATTACGCTAGTATTGGCAAATTTTCTCAAAATCTTGTTACCTTACTCTTTAGTCTGTTAGTATACTGGAAACATACCATATTACATGCTAGTGAGGTTAATGTTTCCTGCTCTGATTTCTCAATGCTCTGTTTTGCTGCTAGCATTTCAGCTTTCTCACAGGAATACGATTTAGCTGCGGGCGAGTGATCTTGTCTTTGGTTTAGCAGTAATTGCTGTGGAATGTATAACATTTAAAAACTATTGACGAAAGATAAATATGTATTCTTCATCGTTTCAGCTTTAAAAGTTTCATTTTGCATTTTATAATGCAAATGAAAATAAACTGGTGGATATAATTTTCGTAGGATCTGATTGGTCTGTATTATAATAGTATAATTTCATGTTGAATTTTTTATTTATTAATTAAAATTATTATGTACATTGTCACCGATTTATGTTATGATACACATTGATGGAAGTATATTTATCTTCCGGAGTTGACTGCAGTATAGGAAAAAAAAACTGGTATTATACTTCCATTTACCACATTTGTGGTTATTTTTACTATATTTGTGCGTGTTTTTACTACTGTTGTGCTAATCAAAAAAATAGTAAAAATAGTTATTACAAATTTAGTAAAAATATACTCACAACAATAGTAAAAATACCTACAAAAGGAGTAAATTAACCACATAAGTGGTAAATTTTTTGATTAATGATACAAAAGTTGTAAAAACAGTAGTAAATTTTGAAGGTATGGTACAAAAAATTTTTAGTCGTGTAGTCAAATTCTTATCTTTCATCTTGGTTTTTGTTTATTTTCATTTAGGAGTAATACTATTGGGATCTAATTTACTGACTTAATTTGTTGATCTAATTTATTACATTTGGATTGATTGTGGGCTCCAACAAACATTGAAATTTGGTATTAATTCAATAGTTTTATTAAAACCACATCATTATGTTAACAAATTAGGTTAAATGTTTAGATCCAAATAAAATTACTCTTTCACTTAGTAGCATGTTCTTGCCACCACCCACTCAAAAGAAAAAAGAAAAGGTAAATTAAGCTCACACCGCGTTACGTTTGATTTTATTACATAGACATCCCTTACATTTCAAAAATTATTTTGAGATCCCTCGACACTTGAACGCGTGTGATATTCTTTTATCAAAGTAAATAACATGTGTAAAATTTTTATATCTTATTATTTTATTTTACTTATTTATTTTTTCAGCTTAAACAAATCAAAACAAAATCTGAATTATAATGATTTTAATATGATACGACTTCAATACCACAGTGCTATTCTAAAACAACAATGAATAGAGTTGTTCTTTGCTCGTGAATTTAGAAGCAAAAGCAAAAGAAGTACAAAAAGACTTAACACTCATTTCTACCAACCTCTCAGTTGGCCCTACAAGCCGTAGAAGCTGTGAAACGTGAATGTTCCTTCACCATGAATTGTGAAAATCAAGTTCTTTCAACAACACTCAGACAGTGGGTTTTGGAGTTGTTGCCCGCTTTTCACAAAAAACAAAAACAAAAAGGGTTTTCGCCCGAGACAAAGCAGGAGAATTTATTTCTGATTTCTCTATAAAAGAAATAATTTGAACTCTAATCCAGTCAACAATTGTCTGTGTGTTGTGGTTTAGTGAGTTTCTGAAAGTACTCTTTAACTCTATTCAGTTACAGTTAATCGTGTAAGTTGGATTTCTTGTGTGTTGATTCTGTGTATATCTTCATCAAAAAAATTTGAAAATTTGTGCACAAAGAAATGGTTTCCCTCCCTTAGGTGACATTGTATTTGATATTCTAGATTTGTTAAAGAAGTTTCAGAAACTAGATTTTTCATTTGTTATAGGAAATAAGGTAGCGCATGAACTAACCCAAAATGCTAACTTTGTTGATGATTTTGATGAATGGATGGGTTAAGCTCCGGTTAAAATTGCATTCATTTTTAAACTTACATTCGGAAAACAAAAAAAAAGAAAAGTAGATGTATAATGTTGCTCAAGACTCTTTATGTGAATTCTCAAGAGAGATAATCGACAAGGTAACTAATTATCTTTCACGTTTCGAATGGTAAGAAATATTATATGCCTTTTGATAAGGAAAAACGTTCAATAAAGAACGAGGTAAATGGATTCCCTCATAACAAAGAGGAATGAGGCACAAGCACCAAATAAAAATGAGGCTTCTCTTCATACATTTTGCTTGCCCTTTACTCCACAAATTGGGTGGGAAAGTACACAATATTTGTGAAAAAGAGGTAGATGTATACACTTTTGCACGTGAATCCTTCATTTGTAGTAATCTTTCTTGACGTTTTTTTCTACCATACCCTTTTATGGAGGATCCATCTTTGGTTAATCTTGTTCCTTCATCTCCTTACCCAAAATTTGAGCAAGGATGAAAGTGTCTAATGAAACTCCCTTAATGGTAGGTGTGAATTCTTCTGATCAACGGCGAGAGTAGAAGGAATTGAAGCTCCTCTTCAATCGGGAATAAAAGGACTGAGGTTGAAGAGGGAAGAAGAAGTAGAGCAATGGGAGTTATGTTGGAATAAAAACCTCTCGATTTGATCTTGAAAGAAGGAATTATTTGGGAGGGAAGATCAATCTTCGTGGTGTAGAAATTTCATTCATTCAGTACGAAAACACGATTATAGTATCCAAATAATAGTAACATTTCCCTATAATAAAGTAACTTACAATTCAAATTTCAAAAAATAAATAAAACGACTTTTGCTATTCGCAGTTGAGATCTCTTTAAATTTTACTTTAAAATTAATCTAACGGCTAGTAGTAATACCTTAAATTTAATTGAAAAAATAAGTCCTTAAGAGTGTGTTTGGAATGACTTTTTAAAAGTATTTCTAAAAATTATTTCTCATAAATACTTTTAAAAAAAAATAGTGTTTGAAATCGCTCCACGACACCCTCTACCACCACCGCCACCATTGTTGCCGCCGTCGACACCGCTACCACAGTCATTGCCACCCACCACAACCATTACCATCTCTTACCATCACCACTGCTGCCCACCACCTCCCACCCCCACTATAAAACCGATGCTTAAATTCTTTTATCTCTTCTCTATGTTTGTGGTTTGATTTTGGATATGAATACAAATATATTTATTGTTTACTATTTTTTATTATTTTGTGCATTCAGGCACAATCAATAACTAGTTTGCCTATATATCTCTAGTACATCTTTGAGTAAAGAGATTTCATACGGTTATGTTAAGGAAGCAAGCTGTAGAAATCGAGTACCCACCCTTTGGTTTGCTTCTTGAAGGAAAGTGCATCCCGTATGTGATTTGGATAGAAAAATAAACAAGTTATACTATCATGGTAACCTGTATGTCCGTTGATTAGTAACTGCTCGATGTTAGCAAAAGTGCTTCCATCTAACTGCTCTAAAATACCATCTAACTGCTCTAAATAGTTGTTCGATTTAAAAAGACTAGGTTGAATCAAGTACCCAACATTCTAAATCCATCTGTTGGATGTAGGACTGCTCTAATTTTTTGCCAATCCTGGAAGTAAATGTTTACCAAATCAAAAAAAAGCTATACTATTCTAGCATAAAACCATCGTTAGGTATAAAATTCTAACAGTTTTTCGGACATACACTTTATAAGTTTATTGATTTCCCTGAACAAGAGATATTAATGTTTCAGTATATTGTCTTTTTTTTTATTATT